ATATTTGTACAATGCAATGACAGTATATACCTGTACTGTGATACAGGAGATATTTGTACAATGCAATGACAGTATATACCTGTACTGTGATACAGGAGATATTTTGTACAATGCAATGACAGTATATACCTGTACTGTGATACAGGAGATGTTTTTTTCAATGCAGTGACAGTACTGTGATACAGGAGACCTGTACTGTGATACAGGAGATATTTGTACAATGCAATGACAGTATATACCTGTACTGTGATACAGGAGATATTTGTACAATGCAATGACAGTATATACCTGTACTGTGATACAGGAGATATTTGTACAATGCAGTACAGTATAACCTGTACTGTGATACAGGAGATGTTTGTACAATGCAGTGACAGTATGACTTGTACTGTGATACAGGAGATATTTGTACAATGCAGTGACAGTATACACTTGCACTGTGATACAGGAGATATTTGTACAATGCAATGACAGTATATACCTGTACTGTGATACAGGAGATATTTGTACAATGCAAAGACAGTATACACCTGTACTCTGATACAGGAGATAACTGTACAATGCAGTGACAGTATATACTTGTACTGTGATACAGGAGATATTTGTACAATGCAATGACAGTATATACCTGTACTGTGATACAGGAGATGTTTGTACAATGCAATGACAGTATATACCTGTATTGTGATACAGGAGATATTTGTACAATGCAATGACAGTATATACCTGTACTGTGATACAGGAGATGTTTGTACAATGCAGTGACAGTATATACCTGTACTGTGATACAGGAGATATTTGTACAATGCAGTGACAGTATATACCTGTACTGTGATACAGGAGATATTTGTACAATACAATGACAGTATACACCTGTACTGTGATACAGGAGATATTTGTACAATGCAATGACAGTATATACCTGTACTGTGATACAGGAGATATTTGTACAATGCAAGGACAGTATATACCTGTACTGTGATACAGGAGATATTTGTACAATAGAATGACAGTATACACCTGTATTGTGGATACAGGAGATATTTGTGCAATGCAATGATAGTATATACCTGTACTGTGATACAGGAGATATTTGTACAATGCAATGACAGTATATACCTGTACTGTGATACAGGAGATATTTGTACAATGCAATGACAGTATATACCTGTACTGTGATACAGGAGATATTTGTACAATGCAATGACAGTATATACCTGTACTGTGATACAGGAGATATTTGTACAATGCAGTGACAGTATATACCTGTACTGTGATACAGGAGATATTTGTACAATGCAGTGACAGTATATACCTGTACTGTGATACAGGAGATATTTGTACAATGCAATGACAGTATATACCTGTACTGTGATACAGGAAATATTTGTACAATGCAATGACAGTATATATCTGCACTGTGATACAGGAGATAACTGTACTGTGCAGTGACAGTAAAACTTGTACTGTGATACAGGAGATATTTGTACAATGCAATGAGAGTATATACCTGTACTGTGATACAGGAGATGTTTGTACAATGCAGTGAGAGTATATACCTGTACTGTGATACAGGAGATATTTGTACAATGCAGTGACAGTATATACCTGTACTGTGATACAGGAGATGTTTGTACAATGCAATGACAGTATATCCCTGTACTGTGATACAGGAGATATTTGTACAATGCAATGACAGTATATACCTGTACTGTGATACAGGAGATATTTGTACAATGCAATGAGAGTATATACCTGTACTGTGATACAGGAGATGTTTGTACAATGCAATGACAGTATATACCTGTACAGTGATACATGAGATATTTGTACAATGCAGTGACAGTATATACCTCTACTGTGACACACATTATTGCTTATACATTCGGACACCTTAACGGTACATGAGACCAAGTGTTCTCGAAGGGTTATCCTTTTGGAGATAGGGAGCGCTATGATCTGTGATGGCGTAACAGCTGCAGCAAGGACGCACATGGTTCAGATTGTGGAGACCTTGAAAGCTGTGTAGTAACGAACGAGATTGTGCATACCTAATGCTTCTGACAATGGCCGTGGAGTGGCGTTTCAACAGGATAACGGCAGGCCATGGCTCGATGTTAATCAGAACAATGTTAATGTCCTTCCCTGACCCGCAAGATCCCCTGATTTGTCACCCGTTGAACACCTCTGTGATGAAATGGACCGACGTTTACGACGTCATCCAAATCCTACAATAAACGAGGTGGACACATTCACTGCTGACTGAACCTCCTCTTGCGTTGTGGCTCATATGCATGCCAGGGACATGTTCCTATGGACTGATGATCGTTACCATACCTTTAAACATTTGTCTTTCCATGTAATATTATATTGCCTCACACATAAATGTCGTTTTCTGATTGGCTGAGCGCTGTTCTATTGTTTTCAGTGAACCCCGTTTACAAGCGAGTACCATTTTCTATGTACCAGGCTGGGAATGCCGAACTCATTTGGTACTTCGTAGTCGTAATTATTTATCTCGAATAACATTGAATCACGTATGATGTACGAAAAGTACCGATGTTTTGCGAATGCAAATCGATGGAAGGGAGATAACTCTAAATATGTTTTTCTTGTCGTCTTGTCGTCCGGTACTCCATACTATAATCCGATGCCCGTGCTTCAAACAGTTCAAAATTACAATTGAGGTGTTCGGTATGAAAAATACGTTGTTCACTGGTCCATCGGGGCCCATGGATTGATGTACCCTCGATGTTTCTTTATATAACAAACGTCGAGGGTACATCAGCCCATGTCCCCCTCGAGACCAGTGAACAACTTATAATATTCCATTCGCGGCAGTAAAAGTTTAACGCTGATTCTGTTTTTCAGGGACAATGTTTTTGAGTATACACACACAAGGTTCTGATCCCGTACAACACGAGTCCATAATTTGAGAGGTTACTCCAATGCTTGTAAACATGCAATATATAAACTTTAAATGGGGAGTGTCCGGCTATTTGATGTACGAAAGGGAAAGCGAGGTAGACAACTAAGTGATGTGTGCACTGAACTATCCAGCCGAGAATTTGCATTTATGTTCTTTGAATAATAATCATTTGAGCACTGTTTTATGAAGGGAGATAATAGCAAGACTGCGCGCTTGAATTTGACGTTGTGATGTCCTGACTGACGATGTCTTGATATGCATGTGAAACAGGAAGTAAGTAATGAATATTGTTGCCCCGTCATAATGTTAGGGCGTGGGCTTCAGCTGCCATCACCACTTAGTGCCGCAGGGTGGACGTCACGATAGCTTGACTTCAGTCCTACCCCACAACGAAGCACATGTGATACATGTGGTCCCACCTTGAGCAAGTGAGTTTGTTCAAAATGCCAGTGTTCACCCAACAGAAAATGGGTACCCGGTAAAATATGTCGTGAGACTATTAACCTTCTTGCGCCTAACAGGCAGCCTAGGTTATCCGGGGTAATAATGACCTTGAAACGGCGCGTTATGAATATTCTTATTGTTAGTATTATTAGTATTATTAGCAGTAATTTTGGCAAACATCACATGCTTGAGTATATCCATTTAACATTAAGATCACCTAAGTTTGCTATTTGGTTATATTTTAATTTTGCGTATGACAATACACATATACCTCTGTAAATAATAGCAAGAGAAATTGTAATATCCTTAAGCTACTCAAATCTCAACATTTATTAGCTGAATGGTGATTTGGCTAAAAATGTGATGGTTCGCATTGGCATATATATATGCAGAATATTAAGTCGTGTAGTTAGTTATATTGTATTAGGAATTATAAGCATTGTGGAAAGCAATCCATAGCCATCATGATTTATACAAATTCTGAAATACACATCCGAATCTCAACACAGCCATCATTACAATGGTATTTCGAATCTACACTTCATTACAAGGCTGTAAATGCCAATGTCATCACACTACAAAGTTTTAGCATTACAATGTAAGGATTTACATCATTATGTCCAGCAATATGAAATCGTATTAATCTTATATGGAAATGTTCTCATGAAGCCAACTAGAGCTTCCGGCATCGTTCTTCCGAAGAGTATAATGGGCCAAACTAATACCAATGCTTTCCTGAGAAATTCCGCCCGATATTTAGTGGATGTATAATCAACGGAAATAATGCAACGCCATGGGTCAAATTCACGAGGGATGTTTGAGTGTGAGAGTCCAAAAGAGATGAGGCTTGGAAATTGTCTTCAGAATGAAAAAAATATGCATTCTCAATAAATGTGACCTTTATGTTTGCTTCTTGTGTAAAAGTGATGCATTCAAACCTTGATCTATCTTTATTTATGAACTAACTGACTGACTGAGTTTGGTTTTACGCCGCTTTTAGCAATATTCCAGCAACATCGCGGCGGGGGACACCAGAATATTTATGAACTAAGATTGACGCACAAGGCGTGTTCTGTTCATTATATTTAGGCGTTATTTTATTTCTGTTCCTCCTTCATAAATGGTCTGACCGGTATCATGGCGAGGCGTGTCAGCTGGTGCCACCCTCCTAAATGATACACTGTGTTCCCGTGGCTTGTCAGGAAATTAGTCATTTCGAAGGTCGTGCCAGCCTGTTCGCGCGTTCAACACACTATGCAACTAATGTATGAGAATGAGAATTGTTCAGATTATTAATCAAGCATCTGTTTCAGCTAGAAAAAACCTTAAGAATGATAAAATGTGAATGACGAGAAATCAACACATTTGTTTCCCTCCAAGAAAAACAAAATCCATTTCAAACATGCTAATGATGATAATATTGTCACTAATAGCGCAGTGTAGTCAGCTGTAGTGTATATGTACATGTAGTCAGCTGTAGTGTATATGTACATGCAGTCAGCTGTAGTGTATATGTACATGTGTCTAGTTGGAGAAAAGAGATCAGCCAACACTCTTAAGTGTGCATAAGAGAGTCTACGTTGCAGTTGTTGTTTCCGTTTGCTGGTGTCCCTTGGAACATGCACAATAATGCGAAAAATATTTATTGACGGACATGTCTATCGTTACATTCAGTCAAAGCATGGTTTCTCACAGAGTCTCGGGCAGCTTCCACAGCACTTCTCGTTCCCAGGGCAGTCGAAATCGCCAACACAGTAGGCGACGCAGACCCCCGCATCATACTTCCTCGGTGGACAGGATCCAGGCTTCTCTGGTCTGTAGCATCTCCTACATCTTGGCTTCCCACAACACTTCTGGTTTCCGGGGCAGTCTTGGTCGTTGCTACACACATTGCCTTTACATGGACCGGGTGGTATCGCTGGACAAAGCCCTATCAATACAAATAGTAAATAATAATATATTGGCACACTTCATAGTAAAAGTGAAAGTGAATGTACAGATGTAGAGGTTTTGTAAGAACAGTGGTTCTTTGTGCAAGGTTGAGTCCCTTGGGGCTACCTGAATCCGGGCCGCCCTGAACATGGTCGTTGCTTTGTCAACACGTATCACGCATGCCTCAGTATTGAATATTGTTCAGCTGAGTGTGTGCATGTTGATATGTGTGTATGCTCACGACTTGGTAGATATCGGCCATGTCAGACCAAGATCCCCGTTACTCAGCTTTTACGCATACTAAAGATACCAGGGTATAATTCGCCACGAAAACGTCAGAGGGAAAAGACCGCACTTTCACTTTTCCAACTAAAAAACCACTAGACACGCCTGAGTTTTGACAGGATATTCAAGACTCTGCCTTTATTAGAGATTCTTTATAACAAGGCTTTGCCACTTTTATTTACCTGGTTTGGGTTTCGGGACACATATGTTCAAGCATCCTGTATTGCAGCAGTAGTATCCAGCTTTACAGTCACGGTCGCTGTAGCAGTACCGGGCACATATACGAGGGTAGCCACCAGGAGGACAGCCTGTAATCCACAAAGGGAATCGTGTTATGTACTGTGAACATGCACTTCCCACAGCACAGGTTAGAGAAAGTGATATAATATTTGTTGCCCAAACCATCCCAGAAGCGTTGGGTTGGCGTTGGAAAGAGTATTTTCTAGCTTATTTTATTCTGCAGTACGGTTAATAACAAAATCTCACTTTGTCAAATTGAAAGGAAGTATTAGTGTTTTTATCCATGCAGTAAGGCGTGTGGTGGAGCTAATTTAGGGAAGTGTCTTGATCTCGCGTTAATTTCGTCTGTGAACTAGTTCCTTGTCTAAGCATAATTGCCCAGGTTATAATAATATCACCGCATGCACCGCAAGAGGTTCTTGAGATTTGGGTATGATCGAATAAATGAATCAAAATAGTCCCGTAACGGTCAGCGCTCACAACCAGCCAACCCAAAGAATGGAATAACTGAAAAGTACCCAGGGTTATTACTGTTTAGTGTGTGAAAAGGAACAGTATCATCTGAATGTAAAACGCAGAGAGAATAGTACAGGAAAAAACGGACACTATTCTGTATAGAAAGATATTTCTTAATTTACGTTAAGCGGCGTTGTGTTTCAGTACAAGGCAAAAGCGGTATCAAAACAATGATTTGTTTTATAAAGAAAACATGATTTGCTTTACCTGGAAGATTTGGCCCATATCCAGAGGCAGTTCCCAGAACAGCGGCAGTGCAAACAACCTGTACAAGTCAGACAAGTGATTTATCTACCTGCAAATACAGCGAGCTTAAGAATATTTCCTCAACTGTGTCACCACGGCAAGATCTATGATCAACCAAATTGCAGTACAAACAAAGATCCCAAAACCTTTAGCAACATACAACTAGGGAACCAGAGAAAGACCAGTTGTTGATTGTAGGACAGATGTACGTACCAAGCAGAGTAGGAGATGCATGTTGTTGATGACGGCGTCGGAGGCAGTTTGCTTATATAGGTATCGGGAGTTCAAGGTGTCATGATCTGACAGGTGTCATAGGTGTCAGGTGTTTTTCGTTTTCTGCCAAATGTGCACTTTTTGATTAGTCATACAATCCCTCAGGGGAAAGCAAAAGATTTTAAAAACTTATATGTGTGTACTGCAGTGTGAATGCTGATAGCTTAGCTGAGCCAGGCAGATTCTTTTACGGCGTCACTGCAGGTTTAAAGCGCATAATGTCTTCACACAAAAGTGTACATTGATAACCTTTTCGTATTCCAACAGGTATTTGGAAATGGTAACTTTAAAAAAAAAGAGTTGTTCTGTTATGCTTAGAAATACGGCTGGCAGTATCAAGAGGCACCTCGACAAAGAAATATATAAAGTAACACATAGTCATGATCACATCCAAATAAGCAAAAAGCCGACAAACAGGGTACCGTAATTCCTTAAATAAAGTTTAATATGCTTAAATATAGTAATTCGGGCTGCACGGTATTACCGGTATAAGGGTAAACCGCAATACGAAATTGTAACAACTACGTATCGCGATACGTTTATGACGTATCGGTATACCGCCAAAGATTTATTTGTTCAATTTTAACCCTTTCAACACAGCCCGTATGTATATGCCCCCTAAATTTTAATGGCGAGGAAGAAGATATATCCTCGCGTACGGTGTTTTCGAGCCCCTAAGACAAACAATGACAATCAAGAGAAATGCTTTGGGATATATCAATAATAGTTATCTTACTTTGAATTACATTTATTGTGCTGTTAAATTTGTTAGCCAAGGAGATGCGTCGTTTGTTCGCAGCAGAACATACCTCGAGGTTCGAAGTGACCTAGTTGATCGCCATGTTTTTGTGACGTCACCTCTTTTCGAGCCCCTCAGTATTGTTGACGTATTCAACACAGTGTCAGCCAGCGCGGGGTGATCTCAAAACTTGAAGCGGTCTTATGAATTCACAGTCATCAAAAATGTTCCAAACGAGTATAAGTCTTTAAATTTCCGCTAAAATGATTAATGTAGCATATATGCACAATATAGCACAGTGACTCGATCATGAATATGATTTCACTGTTAGTTCTGGCAAATTGTCGTCTCACTGCCGTAAGCGTACATGTATTGTTATGACACGATGAGTTATGGGAACTAGGAAAGTAAATATTAAAACTTATGTACAGTTGTCACTTCAGTCGACAAACAGGCTCTATTCCTCTGAATTTTCCGAATGACACGGACACCAGAATTCAGCTGTTGATCTCACAACGCGCACCTGCGTACAGTATTTGAGATGTACCCAGTGATCACAACTCGGGTGCGTACACTGAGCCCACTTTGTGAATACAATCGAGACACAATTTTGCAGTTCTTTCGGTTGAAACAATTTGCAAACACAACACACTTCGTCATCACCCTCAGTGTCCGTGTCTGTACCGCTGTCACTTGCGACAACCTCTCGTACATGAGACAACCCAGACGTGCTTGGTTTGGCAGAGAAAGTTAAACGAACATGTGATAGTTTTTTCTTCTGTGCAGACTGTTGCTTCCTCTTCTTGACTGGCTGTTTCTGAGTGTGTTCTTGAATTTTGAACACTGTATTTTCTTCTGTGATGGCTTTACCGCTGACGATGGAGCTGAGGACTTTCCGCTTCAGTGTTGGTGCAGACTTGATTTTGTGCAGAGCGTCTTCCTTCTGTCTAAAAAGTGAGTCGTCGGCTTCGCGGTTTTCCTCGGATGTAATAAAAAACTGTAGAAGGTCTCAAGGCTTCCGCAGACACGACAGAATCGTCAAATGGAAATATTCCACATTTCTCAAACGAGGACATCAAGTTTCTTGGAGAAAGAGCCGACGTGTATGCTTTACAAGCAACAGCACACATAGCGTTCTTATCTATGTTGGTGGTGACTTGTTCTCTCATATACGTGTGCTTCATGGAATTGTAGATCCTTTCTAGTGGCCCGAAACAACCAACGTCAAGTGGTTGTAAAACATGAGAAGTGTGAGCTGGCAGTACCATCAAAACAATGTTCCGAGATATGGCCCAGTCAATGATGGGGAGAGAAACATGAGAGCGGTGCCCGTCGTAAAGGAGAATCGGCTGTGACGGATCTGACCTCTGAGCGTATTTCAGGAAGTGATCATTCAAATAAGTGGAAAATATTTCCATATTTGACCACCCTAAATCACTAGTTGTGGCATTCGTACCTGGGGTACATTCAGATAGAATATCCGAACGCAGACGCTGTCCCTTAAATACGAAGTAAGGAGGGGATTTGTTGTCCGAGAGCGTTCCCACAACCAATTAAAGTTGTTGTTGATGATCTTGGTGTAGTAACCGCGACACATCGATATTCAGAAGAAGATACCACTTTAGGAGGAGTATGGTTCTCAATCAACCCTTTTTCGTCAACATTATAGATGAATTGCGGCTTGTCAAATAAATCGTACTTCTCTAGCACGGCCCGAAGTTCGACGAAATATTTGGAAACTGCTTCCTGCGACGTCGCCTTTGCTCTGAAAACTTCGAGAGGGCGTGGCTTGTCCAGCATGAGAGAAGGCCATCGCTTCATAAATCCATAATACCAATGGAGAGAAAAGGGATCATCTTTATTTCGTTTTCCCAGTTGAACAGCATACTGAGATGCCAGTGTAGTGACCTCCACCCTGGTGTATCTGTACCCCACACTACTCATGAACTTTAGATGTTCAACAAGTCTAGACTCCTCTTCTAAACTAAGAATTGGTTCAGTCCCTGATTTAAGTGTTTCTGGATGGATCCTACCCCTAGCACGATCTCTGAGAGTCGTCTCAGGTACAGAAAACGTCCTAGCTGCAGTTTTGACAGGCATATTGTCTTCCACAACGGCTAAATATGCCCTGGTCATAGCCTCTGGGTCATAAACCCTATACGACGAGGGTCTTGAATTCTGCAAAACACCGAAAAATTGGTTACAACACTTATAAGACGGCCCCTACTAGCGATCGCGATGCAAGTTAAAAATAGCCAGCCACATGATGTAAGTCATGTGATCCTGGCCGGAAGTTTACATTCTGCAGACGGCATAACTTCGAAGTGATGTCAAATGTTTTCAGTGCAAGAAATGCAGCTTTAAACTTTGAAAAAAATATGCAGTAGGCAAAATAGTGACTTTTTGTCATGGGTTTACGTTTTTTTATCTAACTTACCACTTGCAGCTTCACACGCCACATGATTACGTCCTAGACAGCTTTGAAGTGGCTACCTGGATGACGTCATCAAATAAATCCGCACGTGTATATTGGCAGCTCGAAATGAGGTGACGCTCGAAAAGAGGTAACGTGGGGATATATGTGTAATCAGGTAATATGGGTGGTGGTGGGTGGGGATTGGGCGGAAGTCTTTCCAAATGATTGGCAACGAGTCCACTTGAAAATTGTCAAAGAGCAATGTATACATGGACGTTTCGAGGAAGTCATTAAATTGAATAAACTAATGAATAAGAATAAAATCAACAGTTTTCATAAAAGTTGTCAAACGTACATCTAAGTTACTGTTTCCATCTTTTCGTGCGATCATGTTATGTTAGTCAAGTGACATCTCGGCTTTCGTCACCTCCATTTTCATGCTCGGACACGATGTTTAATGAGAAAACATTTGCATAAAGAATATTTGTCACAGGTCGCCACCTAGCGGGATACGTCCAACAAGTTCCATTATTTACGTATATATGGCGATTTGTTGCTAAACATGTTCAGAATAGCATTATTATACCCAAAACTTTTGTCTAAATGTTTTCATTTGAGGACGGTATCCACAGCTGTAATATGATTGGTTTACGAGCATGGTTTTACCAATCACGAACCTTATAGCAGACTGTGGCAAAAAAGCGTCTTTAGAAATCAATCTTTATCGAATAAAAGGGCTTCTTACAACTGCGAAAATACTCCTTGCCAGGTTACTGTGATATTTTTGATGATTAGAGCTTTGGAACAATACCCGCCATCAAATGAATCTTCTAGAGTGTTGTTCATACGGAGCTTCGAAAACAGTGGCATTTCCCAATGTTGTGTCATGTTACCGGGTGAAAAGCCACGGTTATCGGGAAATAGGCGACCATACATATTATTTAATTAATCTTTATATAATACTTTTCTGATTACGTAAAAATTAAAATATGAAAGAAACACGTAAGAGGATATTATGGCATCTTACAAAATGGATTACAATAACTGGAGTTTACGTCTCCTTCGTGGTTTATATGGACATTTTAAGTGTGTAAATCTGTGTTACTATTAGAAATGAATTTATTTAAGTTGAAGTTGTATTATTTGAATAACATGATAAACATACCTTTGGTATTTATCAACAGTTGGATTAGACCTAAAAAATTTAATGGTGTATGACATAGCAATAATGCTTCAAGAGCTGATATTTTCCTTGATAAATGCAGGCTTCTATCTTATTCTAAGGTTATGTTTCTCATGTTTCATTGGGTTGTTTTCATTATTCTATTCAGTCTAAAGAAAGTGTACTTTACCTGATACAGAGTGACTTTTGCCCATCGTGAGTGTTTTGTTAAATCATTTCTTTATGTGAATGTGTACCAAACGTCATTCATGAAATAGGTAATGTTAATAATACTTTTATTCAAAGACAAAGGTGGATAAATCATCGTTTTGATTAGAATGTGCACGTCAAGATCATGTCACATGATTGTGACTTCAATTAAATTTTCCTTCAGTAATACAGATGTGTACAGTAAATTCTTTAACTCTTTAAATTATTTGAAAGTCAACATCCTTTGCTGTTTAACGAAGTTAAAGGATATAAATAGTATGGGTGGGTCGATGGAGGACATGGTGTAAGCTAGTTTCAGTTGAATTTGTCATATATATGAAATGAGAGATCTTACATTTATCTGCGTTATCTTTCCTTTGGACAGCAGTTACAATTAAAAGAAAGACCTGTTGAAAGTTCTTTTTTTTAGTAAAGCGTAGGGCTAGTAATTTTTGGAAAGGACTAGTGACATACAAAATCCACTAGCCCGGAGGGCCAGTA